AGATTTTAAAGTATATATAAAGTAATTATATATGCTGTATTGCGGGACATATTCACTGGTCATTTTATTAATTATATTATTTTTAATGAATTGTAATTTAATGTATTTTTAATTATAATTAGTAATCATATTTTCATAATTATTTATTAATTAATGTAGGGTATTTAAATCATTTTTAGCTTTTGACTATCTAGTATTGTAATAAACATGAATACTATTTAAAATTGAATATTTTGATCTTTATCAAATGTACAATTTTATTTCCGCATATATTACATTAATTTAATTCCAAACTACTATAAACATTAAAAGCTCTTTTTACTTCTATGTACCAGAACCCAAATAAATATTTAACTTTTTTTAACCTTTTAACTATCCTGGTTGAAAATTCATTTTTGCTGTTTTATACAATATACTCAATATATGTCGTAACATTGGAATGGTTAATATCATAGTACACTAAACAAAATTGATAAAATATAATTTGTAAATTGATAGTTTTACAATCTCACAAAGTGGTGACATACCTGTTGTGTGGCACATTTGCTAATAATAAAAATCATTTTACATCTGTCTACATGTGAGGCTTCGTTGCCCGAAATAAAAGAAAACATGGTAAAATAGGCAAATTTACTGTGATATTCAAAGTTGTCTTTAGAAGTTTAGATTTGTCGTTTTAAATTGGTATTTACAACAATGTAAACGCCAGAGAAAGCTATTAGTGACCCTGTTTGAGGTCATGAGTTCTTGTCTGATCTACCTTTATTTACTAGGACAAAATTTGAAATTTTGGTTGGTATATTATTCATAATGTAGTGTATATTTCGACAATTACATGGAATTTATTGATCATAGCTCGCTTTTTATATGTCATTTGTCTTAGCTGATTCATTCTGTGTTTATGTTGTAAATATTGTTAACCCAAAAAGATTATGATAGAGTACTTATGTTGTATATTTTTTCTCTTGCGGTGACAAAATATATATTTTAAAAGCAAAAGGATCAGTTGATATGTGTATGAAATATGAATGTTCGATTTTTTGTTGTTTCCATTATTTGGCTGCCTTCAATGTTTCAGGTTTATTTACAATTTTAATTTATCTTATGTCGGAGGACGAGCTTTTTGTCTACCATTATATATTTAATTTGAACTTTTGAGATAAAATTGCTTAATTTTTATGAAAGTACCGGGTAGCTTATTTAACCCTGGTGTTTTTATCTTGAAATGGATTTTTGCTTTATTGGTTCAAAATTTTTCACTTGACATTTTATTAGTTTATGAATGAAGCAATTTTTCACTTGATGTCGCAATTTTCGTTTCTTATCCCCTCTATTCATCAGATATGAGAAATCCTACTAAAAATGAATTTCAAACAAATATTATACTTGCAAAATGATATTAGGATAATGTTACTACCGAGTCATGTTCTTATATGGATGAAATTAGTTTACTAAGTCATTGATTACTGACTAGTATTTATAATTTAATTAATTTATTTTAATTAATCCTATTCAACTATACTGTTGATTGGGAGCATCATTGTAGATGTACAGTAATATAGTAATGTATTTCATTAAAATATTTCTTTACTTAAAGATAATTAGTAATTTTATTCTTTATATTATGTTTTGTGTGTGTTGTTGTTGAATGTTTTGGTTCTATTGAGTCAGTCCATAAACTTATTAGTGAGAAATATACATGGCTGTAAACCAGCCTGTAATACCATATAAAATAACACCACTAACAATTACCATCAAAACAATGCTTGTTCTATTCACCCATATCAATTGTTGATGGACTAGTATGTATTGTTTTGTTGTCAATTGATTCATTATTAATCATTACCCGAACAATCACATGTCACTTCTTTCATACTATTTTATTTCATACTATTTTATTTAACTATTCTAGCTGTCTTTCCGATTGGTATCGAACATTTATAACAAGTGACCTATGTAATTGTTAGTGGCTACATTGGTCTCTTTCCCGCCCACCACAGTATAAGAGTTTGGGAGATATTCTGTAAAACAAGAACTGGTATTGAACACTAAGTAAAAGAATACTGTTACTATAAACTTGTATGATAAAAATGATATTTTCAGAGATTTTGCTTTGATTATTGGATGAAATTTTTTTAATGAAAAAAGGGATTTTAAGTTAAAAAATCAAAGATGTAATTAAGATAAGTAACAAACACATTTTTGATATTGTTGACCATTTTTGGAATTCTGACCTTAATTAGACAAAGCTAAATTAAAATTTTGCAAGAGTATGATGCAAGACTTTAAATTTAAACAAATGTATGTTGCAACTCTCAAATCAATAGTTATGTACTGTCTGGCATTATTTGTCACATGCTTAGATAATGGTTCTGGATTTTTTGTCATTCGAAATTGACTTTAAATACATATGTTGAGAATGATGAATTTATGACAATGTTCAGTTCATGGTTAACACTTGTAATTTCTCCCATCTAATGACGTGGGATGTCAAACCACATGACTGCAGTTAATCATAGGCTTATGAAACTGGGAATTTAGACGAAAAATTAGTTTTATAGAACAGACAAATAATAGGGAACTTGAACATGGTGATATATTGTCTTGTAATATTCAGTTTCGTAATGTATCATATGAATATTACCGTTTATTTATTTTAGCAATTGGGGATTTTCATATTCGAATTAGTCGGGTAGTTTTGGAAATGTTCTTCCCTCAGGTTTTCGGATACTTTTCTAATACGGTATATGGTGAAATTAATGTGTACATTGATGCGGCATTTACCATATATGTGCTGATATCTATAGGTGATAATGTTTGAAGTGTAAACACTGTCATGCTATATTTGTTTTTCTCGGGCCTTATTTACTCGACAAATCTTCCTTTAAATGGGCACGGAGGTCTTAGATAACATCAGGTTTAAAGTCCTTATCTTTCATATACATATAGTAACTATATTTAGTATGAAGCGGTTGTGTAATTGTCGTTTTGTCCTTCAAAAGATTTTAATATTGAGTACCGGGGGAGATTTTCGACACTCGCATGCGATAGTTACCGTATATATTCATATATATATAACTCCAGTTGTTGAATATTTAACCACTTTAATCTGAGAGATTACATGTATGAGATGGACTATTATGATATGTTTTGATGATACCTGAATTTTAATTTGATCTATGTGAAACATCGCAAATAAATGTATTTATATAATAAATATGAAAATGGCATGATATGGTTTATTAACGATATTTATAATACATGGTAATAGCGTATTATGGGATTCACCCTAAAGAAAAAAGAAATTTGACAAATGGAATTTTTTCTCATCTAAATTCTTTCAATTGACAAATCTGCCGTAACATTTTTTTTTCTATAGGCAATTTCCATATCTATTGTGTGATCAGGAAAAATGTAGTAAATCTCGAGTTCTCAGAAATCAGTAAAGAATGAATTGCTAATATTTTTTCTCGCTTGTAAATACTTTATAACTTTCAAAGGAATTCTATTTGTTGTCTATTTTTTGTACTTTAAAAAGATATTACAACACTTTTACCAGTTTCTTTGTTCTCGTTTCGGAACGAAATTTAGGCAGTATAGTAGGCTTGGCAGCTCTTTTGTTATGGTAGCTAAATTACTAGGTATATATAATAAGTACTCTCAACTTCTGTTAAGGGTAGTCTGAGAGGATCGACTTCTATTTGTCTTTGTCACAAATTTTGTTTTCACTCCTGTGTGGACGGGTTTGCTGAAATTGTTTTTCGGTAGCCTGATATATACATTGTTATTGTTTAGTAGCTAATTTGTTTATGTGTCACTGTAAAGTATAATTTGTATCAGGCGTAGATATGGGGGATGCCTTGAAATTGTAGTTTATAATTCTGGACCTAATATAATTAAATGACCGAAACCCTAATGAATTATTTATTTTTATTAATGTATTTTCGGACTAAAATTTCATGTCCTGATGTGTAGCATTGTTCAGTATATTTTATTTTGTGCTGTAATTATAGCATTTTATCATATCAACATTATTAAATATTATTTTAATAGTAAATACTTAGTACAATAATTCATAGAACATTATCAGCAGTAATATATAGATATTAGAGCAGTGGTTCTCAACCGGGGGCCACGGAGCAGTTTGAGAGGGGCCATGACACAAGGCTAATAATTGATTATAGAGCGACATTGTTTGCATACTTTCCTTTTAAAATAAAATTTCCCGTTCAGGCGTTTATCGCAGTTTCATTACCTGAATAAGTTATTTGCCATCACAGGGTGTATTCAATTTCTTGAGCGTGAATTGTTTGATCACAATGAAATTTGGAATCCACCAATCAAAATAGTATACCAGTAGGCTGTCTGACTTGCAGACTGACAGTTCCACTAGACCGCGAGATAAACTTTGCTATCGTATTATAGACGCAAAAACCCAGTTGTAAATTCTTAAATACAAGAATGGAACGACAGTAAAGTTGGCTTTACCAAAGTAAATCGAGATGACAGAAAATGTGCTCAATGCTCGCATTGCTCGTATGTAATGAGCAATAAATTTTTACGTTCATTTAAACTCCAAAACCATCGTGACAAAAATCATCCACCGGTGGAAGAAGTGGGCATCGGTTTCTTTGCTGCCAACCAAGTTAGATTTGACACTGACAGGAAAGCAATATTGGACAAGTTCGGGTTTCTGTTGGAGGAAAAGCCTTGTTACGATTTTTCTGATATTAATACCATCAACACAAAATGCTTTTGCATTCCATAATAGGTCGTAAAAACAATACAATCCAACACGTTCAGTATTTTGGAATGGCGAACAGGGGGGCCACGAGTGCAAAGGGGCGGCGGAAGGGGGCCACGAGCCATAAAAGGTTGGGAACCGCTGTATTAGAGTGTTCTTTAAATTCAGGTGGCATACTTCTGACTTTTTTTTATTGGGTTTTTTATTGTGCAATAAATGGTATTATTTAGTTTACTGAGGTCTAATGAAATTATTTTACAGATGTTGTAATAGTATTTACGTTTATCCTATTAAATGCTGTGTACATTCCATAATGAAAGAAAATGCTGAAAGTTTATTTGAAAAGTTTTTAAAAGCATCAACATGTAAAGAAACTCTTCAAACATTCCATTTGTTATGTGCTGAGGTTAAAGTTCAATACCCACCACCTCGTAATGCTGCTTATGACCACATCACATTTTACACAAGATTGAAACAAATTTTGGGGTCTCATTGGAAAGCGCAATCATTGTTCACCAAACTTGATAAAAAGTTCAACGATGATGTTAATTTTGAAATACGCAAAAGTTCTCGTGAAAGAGATCGGGCAGCCAGAAATTTCAATGTTCTCATTGTGGGAGCAGGTCCGTGTGGTCTTAGAACTGCTATATTCACAACACTGCTTGGTGCAAAAACAATAGTCATTGAGAAAAGAGACTCGTTTTCAAGAAACAATGTTTTACATTTGTGGCCTTTTACCATTGAAGACCTGAAGGCTCTTGGCGCGAAAAAATTTAATGGTCGTTTTTGCTCTGGTGCAATAGACCATGTATCAATTCGTCAGTTACAGCTTATTCTCATGAAAGCTGCTTTGATTTTTGGTGTTGAAATTCATGTAAATACAAGTTTCTGTGATGTCATAGCGCCAAATATAGAAGGTTCAACCACATGGAAAGCCAAAATTGAGCCAAGTTCAAGTTCAGTTTCAGACTTTGATTTTCATATGGTTGTTGGAGCAGATGGACGCAAGAATACGCTCAAAGGTTTTACAAAAAAGGAGTTCCGAGGATCTTTAGCTATTGGAATCACTGTAAATTTTATCAATAAAAAGACAAGTGAAGAAGCGAGAGTTTCTGAAATAAGCGGAATAAATTTCATTTACAGACAAGAATTCTTTCGGGAATTGAATAGATTGCATAATATTGATCTTGAAAATATTGTCTATTACAAGGATGATACTCATTACTTTGTCATGACGGCTCGTAAAAAGAGCTTACTCGAAAGAGGAGTATTTAGAGAATGCCTGGATGAGGCTTATCATCTTGTACATAGCAATAACATTGATCAAAGTGCTTTGTTACAATATGCATTAGATGCTGTAAATTTTTCCACCGAGAACAAATTGCCTGATTTAGAAGTTGCCATAAATCATTATAGCCTCCCTGATATCGCACTTTTTGATTTTACACGCATGAAATCATCTGTAAATGCTTCTATGTTCAGAGAAGTCAACGGAGCAAAACTTTTACAAGCCTTAGTGGGGGATGGTTTGATGGAACCATTTTGGCCAAAAGGTACTGGTATTGCCAAAGGTTTTTTGGCAGCTTTTGATACAGCATGGATGTTACGACAGTGGGCTTTAGCGAAAAACCAACAATCTGATAACTCATTCGAATTGTCGTTACTTGCGGAAAGAGAAGGACTGTATCGTGTTCTCGCACAAATAGAAAGCAACCAACTTGTTCAAAAGTATTCACTATTTTCCATTGATCCAAGAACAAGATACCAGTTTGTACCCAGAAAAGTTCCTGTTGGGAAAATAAAAGCATTTTATTTGTCTGGCGACAAAGGTGCAGAACCCCTAATTGACACAGATACCGTTGATTCTGCTATAGTCCCCCGAGGACTCACTCGAAATGTATCATTCGTAAAATCTAATAAACTACAGCAATGGTGTGAAAGGGTGCTTCGTGAATCTGGCTCATCGTTGACTGTGACCAATATGAGTTCTTCATGGAGAGATGGTCATGTTCTCTGTTCGATCATTAATTACTATAGACCTGATGTTCTTGATCTAGCTGATTTGCGAGAAGAAGATGCAGAATTTAATAATCAACTGGCTTTTGATATTGCTGAAGAACACCTTGGTATCACTCCTATCATGTCTGGAAAAGAGATCGCTGAATGTGAAGTTGTTGATGATCTTTTGATGGTTACTTATATATCACAGTTCTATGAAATTTTGAAGAGTGAAGTACCGGTGAAACCTGTTAAGAGGGTTTCAGATATAATAGCAACACCACCGGAGGAAAGTTTGCCTCCCAAAATGAAAAAGAAGTCACCTCTTGGTCTTCTTGTTAGATTTTCACACCAGATTAAAAGAAAGTCAGCGCACCGTGGATCTTCAAAAGAATATGAAGTGGACAAAAAAGACAAAGAGAAATCAAAAAAGAGAAAGAAAATGGATAAAGATGCAAGTGTGGCTAATTCTGATTCACAAGTGGTTTTGACTAAGGCTACATTGCCAACTATTGTAGATGAAGACAAAGAAAATACTGTAGTTAGGAGAGACAAGTCGAAAGATTCACCAACACCCGGTGTCCGTAAAAACACATCAAACCGAATCAGTGCGCTTGGTGCTCAATTGATATCACAGTTGGAACAAAATTCTGATGTCCCTCCTCAAAGAACTACCACTAGCACACAAAAAGTATTAAAAAGCCAATCAAGCAGTGTTTGTTACTTTTGTGGAAAAACTGTTTATATCGTAGAGAGATTGAGCGTAGAAGGATTATTTTTTCACAGAGAATGCTTCAAGTGCTCTCACTGCCAAACACCTTTACGTTCCATGAATTATAAACGGGATCCTGATAGTGGGAAGTTTTATTGTAGTGTCCATTACTTTGAGAATGCGGAATATCTCAAAACAGGACAGCAATCTACATCTGAGGAAGCCGCAGCATCACACCAATCTATTAAATCCCCAGTGATTCATGTTGAAGAAAAAGAGGAGAACGACTTACTCGCGATGGGTGACCTTTCTCCAAATAGACCTGATAATTTGAATCTATCTGTTCCCACAATAGAGAATGGTCAAGTTATTATGCGACGAGATCTCACTCCAAAGCGAGGAGACATGGCTAAAATTGCTCTTACCTTGTCACCAGTTCCGATTAAGGTGGAAGAAGAGTTCTTATATCAACATAACATGAGATGTAGTATTAATTCAGATAACGAAAGTGACAGTTTTTCTTCGGAATCTGAAGCTGAAGAATTAGATGAAATTGCGATCGGTTTAAGGGACCACTCACCACAAGAAATGTTTTCAGAGTATTATAACAAGCCCAAATCTGTGGATGCAAATAAAATTACGGAAGAAACTACTAGAACCACAGACGGAAATACGCTGTTGTCGTCAGAAAGTGATGGAGATGAAGATATCAGTTCATTATCTAGTACATCTGCTGATGATACGAGAGAAAACAAAATCATAAAAGAAGAAGATGAGAAAGATAGTGTTTCTTTGTCTATATCTTCACCTGACGAAGATGAATATGATCACACTCAGCAAATAGAAAATAACAAGAAATTGGCGAAACAAAGGACTTTATCTTCATTGTCATCTGACGAAAATGAAGAAATTGAAATTTTGAAAATTGCTGAAGAAAAACCGATGAAAACACAAAATACAATTTCATCTTCATCTAGTGAGGCTGAAGTTGATCAACCACATGAATTAGAAGATAATGAAGCACAAGCTAGCGCATCTGAAAATCTAGATAACGCTAGCACAGGTGAAAAAATGGATGAAAATGCAATGCCTGAATTTGAAGCTGATGTGGTGCGAACAAAATCTCTGTCAACATCATCTAGCGACCCCGAAGAGGAGACAGTGGAATTTCCGAGTAAACATGCCCAAAAAGATGATTCACCAATGGAAGATGCAATGTCAACATCATCCTCTGAACCTGAAGAAGTCGAAATTGAACAAGATACTTCATTTGGTACAAATTTTAGAAAAAGTACAATTCTACCTGTTGCAACTAGTTCTGCGAATAACGATACTAGTGTATGGGTCTCTAATCTTGAAACAGGTGATGTTTCGAACGTCGAGAGAGTAGAAAAAGTTTTCGAGCCCGAAATTCAGCAAGTAGTTGTAGAAGATGTGATCATGTCGGATGATATAATGTCTTCTCCGAAACTCGTCGGTATAGTTGAAACTGATGGTCCCCGAAATGATCTAACAGTTGCTTCAACTCCCAAACAGTCTAGTTTAGATAATGATGTGTTTTTTACTCCATGTGCTGATCGCACAGGAAATGAGAGCTTTTACACTGTAAAATCTGATCAGACTTCAAGTCAGAATATTTCTTTTGACATGGACACTAGCGACGCGACACTTGACACCACTGTAACCTCTGACACTGTGGGTGACTCAGTTATCACAGACTCTCCTTTATCAACTTCATCTAGATCAGGTTCTGGTAGAAAATTACCGGAAACCCCAAAAGGTACTGTTCGAAGAATATTACCAGTTATTCCAAAAATTCAACATTTAGAAGCTTTGTCACCGACCGGTGACGTTTCACCACGGCAGCGAGAACGAATCGAAATGAAACTGAAAAAACATGAAGATCGTGTGATGGAAAGAATTAGAGAAATGAAGCTTGGTGTAAATGAAGGAAAGCATGATACTTCCTTTTCTAATGATACAAAGGTACATAGAGAAAAGAAGGCAGCTGAGCGAGATGACTTCGTAAATCATGTTCCGATGCTATTGCAGAAACGCAATAATGATTTAATGAAGAAAAAACATAAGCGTGGAAAACCTGACCACGAACATAAAAAAGCTTTGTTTGCTTTTGGGCAAAAGAAAAAGGCTATGAAAGAGAAAAAAGATATTCCAGCTCCTAAAATTATGAGCCCTACACATCGTTCTTCACAAAGGCGTAATTTATCTTCTTACACACGAGAAGAACTTGAGGAAAGAGTGTCTCATCGTGTACGCATCGCTGCACAGCGACAAGCAAAGGAAGCTGAAAGAAAAAGAATGGCTAGAGCTCTCATCATTCAAAGTCAGCTTCAAGAAATTGATGAAAGACGTAAACAGTTAGAAGAAAGAGGAGTGAAACTAGAAAAATTACTCCGCGATGAGAAAAGCCAAGCTCGTCAGCGAGAGAGTTCACTTCACATGCATGAGTGGTTTAAACTTGTGCAAGAAAAAAATGGGCTTTTGCGTCGAGAGAACGAGGTAATGATATCACAGAGGGAGTTACAACTCGAAGACAAGCAAAGTCGTTTGCAACAGGTTTTGCGAGAAAGAATGTCTATCGATGATTCAAAGAAATCGACTGAAGAATTAGCTAAGGAAAAAGAAATTCTTTCTGAAATGATGGAAATTGTCGACCAACGTAATCAATTAGTAGGTTTAATGGATGAACAAAGAGTCCAAGGAGCAGAGGAAAATGCAGACATAGAGCAAGTATTATTACACAAATTTTTAGAAACCACTCCCAGCCCAATATGACTACATGAAACCATTCTTCTTGTATTATCATGCGTTATCACTTTTCTAATCCTTGGCTTTATGTTTACATTTGTTCATCATATTCACAATTCTCACTACTCATAAATAACATATAGTTGGTGATGTTTGGTATCGGTTACTGTTGTATTTCTAATGATTTTTAATGACATATCATGATTTAATTTAACATCTCCCCTTGATAATAATCTTGCAACGATTTTTCAGAATTTTCACAGCGTAAAAAGTTTTACAAGCATTTACCCACATGGACTGAAATTCGAAACTGTTTGCGTTCAAATTTGATGTTCTCGTATAATTTTTCAACATAGCGGTACCCCAATCATTAATATATCTAAAATCATTGCCAGGAAATTCAAAATTATATTTACGGAGGTTGCAAATTTACACCTACGTTTGAATCCCAACTATCTAGCCGGTTATTATATTATTCAATTTCCATTTAATAACTCAATTCATGATGTATTCCAAAAATGAATCATGACAGCATAATGAAAGTATTCTATTTTCAAAATCAACTAAACATTGTGACATCATAGATCATCATATGTCAATTTCATTCCAGTGCCATTTGACAAATTTTCGAGACCAAACAATTGAATAATTCTTCACATATATGTATAAAAATATCTTAATCTCTTTTTTTTTTCAAATACTTGTATATTCTTGAATTCTAATATGGTATTCCTCGTTTGAGGGAAACAAGCTAGCTAAATATTCAAGTTAATAGTTAACATTTTTTTTCGTATGCACCTGCTGCACTCTTTTTTGCCTTCATTTTTTTCGAGTATTTTTTTAGCATAATAAACTAATAATCCGCATAAACACTTTAACCCAGCATGGGAAAACGTATTTTCATGTTGCAATCTGACTATTGGAGATCATATTTTGAATCATTATTTATTCTGAAAATTAATTGTAGTAATGTATACCATTTACTCCAATACTGCCCATCTACCCAACCTCAATTACAATAAAAAATTATAAAGCATTTGAAGTCTTAGTTCAATAATTATTTTTTTCAAGTTGGAGAAAATATATTTTTATGTGGTGTTGTTGAATATTATTTGCCTTTCATCTTGCCATTATTGCCTAAATCGTATTTAAATTAAGAATAAGACTCAGCCATAAAGGATGTAATTAATCACATGATTAATTGTAATTATGGCCAGCTAATTAGTAATGTGTTTCAAATATGGTTTATGGAATTAGTAAGTGTTATCAGCATGGATTTATTAATGTTGATACATGAAATCAAAAAAACACAGTAATATTGATGATTGAGCGCCTGATTGTTATTATTTCTTTTTTTATGAAAAATGCTACATTTTTATCCTTGAATTATTGTAGTACGAAATATTGTGCATAGTACTGTATGTTTTATAATGCGAAGTTGCCTTTTCATTTTACACGAGTTAAAATAAATTCATCCTAAGCCCTATTGATACAACTGCACTAGGTACGTAGACTTGCTGCCCCCAAATTCATTGTGATTCTTTCAAAAAATCATTCCTTACTTAATGCATACTTTGACAAAAAATGCACTATTGAATAGTACTATTTGTAAGTTTTAATTGTATTAATTATGTTTAATATACAAGGGTATTTCGTATTTTTAGACTCCGAAATTTGATTCTAGGGTAACTTAACATTCATTCTATTTTTTTCCCTTGGCAGGTTCCAAAAGTTAAATCACCCCCTCAACCTTGCACGTAAACTGTCTTATTTCGATGTGACATGAATTAACTATGGAAAAAGAGAGATTGACTAGACTTCAATTCGCAATTTGCTAAGTGGTCAATTACATTTGCCATGTTCATAAACTTTCTTGCTTCAAATTAACGTCCGAGAGGTGAATTTACTCATGTTAAGAATCTCTGATTTAGACGAATGCATACAAGTATTATGGCCCTATATTGAAACATTATATTTTAGTATTTGCTACAACCAAAAGTACTGCCGGTATCTCCTATATTGTGAACAAATTTCTGATTCTAGATTAATGGAATGTCCAGTATTGTAAGTAACTGAGATAGGCTGAACCTAAAACTGCTTCACTTGAATCATCCCTCATAAATTTCAATTAGCATTGCTATATACCACTTTCAAACATTTGCATCAAATTTAGTTTCATTGTCTTCAAAATTGTGACTTTTATAAAAGCTCAAATATTTTATTCTGAATTGTATAGTACAATACAACATTTTGCAGTATTGGTACAATTTGAAGCATTGTGAATGATTCTACAATCGATTGCACATTATTATTTTGTTGTTTGTGATGCTTATATATGCTGCTTGAAGGTGTGCAAAATTGTATTTCTTGATATTTTCAATAATGGCAATGTTTATTTTGGAATGACTGTCTATATTGCAATTTTATGCCCATGTGATCAACGTAAAAGTTGAGCCATTTTTCATCCGTTGAATATCGGCCTAGTCATATGCTAGAGCAGTGGTGGGCAACATTCTCAGTGTCACAAACCCTTTTGATGGCTTATCCGAAAGTTTTTGGGAACCACTGGCATTGGGGTGGGCCAATTCAGTTAACATGTTGCTTTGTAGATAAACTAATGGTTGCACTCGATTCAGTTTTGTTCCATATTTTTATTTGCCATTTATAGTTTCACCATATATAAATATCAGTCGCCAGTATTTCATTTATTAATACCATAAATATTGTGATATATACTGCTTTATTCTTTTGCTCATTTAAAATTTTTCCTGTCTCGCTCGGAAATATTGTAGATTGTATTCTTTGCTTTTTTGACTTCTTCAAATGTTATATCATTGTAATTTACCGATTCGATGGTCCAATCAAAATGTAGGCTACATGGTGTTTTAAAAAATAATGGTTACCCTAATATAAAACAAATATCAGTGCCAAATTTGACGATTTTTTAGTGTAGAAATGTTTGATATTTTGAAAGCCAGTTAAAAACCTATACAAAGATGATTTAATTTTGCGAATAACTTTCAATTTTTATTTCCTGCTGTATGGGATGTCGAAAAGGCCTCATATTTGTACATGTTGGGTCGTTGATATCTTTTGCCCTCCAGCCATAATCTGTCTCAATATCTGATCTGCATCATATTAATATGCTTCAGACAACCTGTTTACCGTCAAAGGTATGCTAATGTGTCGTACTGATGGACCATTCAGATATTAGATTACATATTTTAGTACTTACTTTACCGTTATATGTAACGCTGCTTTACTTGGCAATGGTTCCTGATATGAACTTGTATCCTCTCTCTATATGTCACATAATTATCATTCCAAGCGATGCCCGATAAAATATAAACATGGGTATATCTTGATCATACTGGTTTAAACCAGCTGATTTTTCTTAACAAATTATTCTCGTTATTAAAATTTAGTTTGGTTTCCGTTGTGTAATGTCATGTGTAAGTGACTACATTTTTTCATGCAGATATAATTTCAAAGAGTGGATAACCTTTTTTCAATCATATACCAAAAATTAGACCAAAGCATTTGGGCAACAATTCGTTATATTCCTGCTAAATTGAAACACACTCATCTTTTTCGTATACCGGTAACAAATGTCTGACACTCCAAAAATTCAGACAACATATATACATAATTCAGATGGTACTTTGCTTGACTTATTAGATCTTCACAGACTTGTATGTAATTTTATACTTCAGCCCTGCCGATATCACAGAATTTTTAATGTCAGTAATCACTAAATTATTTAAGATAATCACTTAACCAAAGAAGAGATGGCTGTGTCTTTGATTAAAAGATATATCTTTGGCGTTTGCAAATTTAAGAAATTGTCAGAAAAATTATAATCGAGTATTCCATCTGTTTTTGTATTCGATAGCAAATTACATTGTAATAAATTTATGATCTACTTTCCAATGGGACGACTTGTTAACATGGTTATTCCGGTTACCAAAAAAATTAATTTACTCCTTAAGTGATGGCTAGGATGCCCTTGTTTGTGTGCATCGCCTATGAGCCGAATATGTTACCGTCTTGTAGTTATTTTTTTCACTATTATCGATGTAAAAAAGCTTGTCTATATGTTCGTATTGTACAATACGGAGTCAAGCCAACATTTTCATATTTTGATTAAAAAATCCATTGCTCAGCTGCGTAATCGTTTTTGGCTGCATTGTGATAGTTTTTCAATCATACACTGTGCTTTATTTACTTGATTGTATTATTGTTATTTTACCGTTGTTTCATTTTACAATTGCTAATGTGCCATTTACGTATTGAAATCTTATAAACAATGCTTATAGATTTATAGTAATCACATGGGGAACATGTTTTCCTATCTGTACACGGCCGAATATTGACCGTGTATTGCTGCTTCTTTTGGGCGTGGTCCATCCATGATTTATGATCGGTGGAGTGATAGGTTTTTCTCGTTAATTCATTAACAAGAGCAATGTGCGTTCCATACTATTACAAGTATATAATACTCAACAGCGAAAAACAAATCTTTGTATATGATTTGATATTACATGTACAACACCAAATCTCTAGTGATGATTTCAACGAGTGGCCTGAGCATCAGTTTAGAAAGGGATCGTGATTTACATTCGTGTCGCTGTAATTAGCCGAAAACGAGTGCTTTTTTGATTTAATGTCGTTTGCGGCAAAATGTTTGCACCTGCTCCGGTAGTCATGAGGCCAATCTCATTCCAAAGTTCATGTATCTTACTCTAGCCTAGAACATTGAATAACAACTTGCGCCCACCTCACTTCGCAGTATACATCTGCGGATCTTTTATTGAAGGCCCCCGCCGAAAAACATACCCACCACCGCTCTAATACAGAATAATTACTCATTAAGGATTAGGCATGATTTGATTTCCCAGCGCAATCGGCTGTACAAACGTGACGACGCGCAATTACTTAAAAACGTGGCAAGCTCAAACTGCAGTAGGCCTACTTAAAACGTGACTGGGTATTTTTCTCAAATCTCACATTTTAGTGGCGTTTTTTACACGAAAATAGTAATCCGTAATTTGCTGAATTTTGATGAAAGATCATGACCTGCATTTGAGATGGCAATAGTAAGAATAAGATGAACTTTCCGGATTCGTGGTTGGTGGAGACACTTACCAAAAGTGAATCTGATCAAACTCCAGCATTTCTCGCGTAGCGCACCATCCGAACAAGATTGAGCGGAGCTCCAGGAGTATGTGCACCAAGATAGCGCACATCCTGAACATAGTATGTGTACCAAGTTAGGGTTCAGGTTGTGCGCCATTTTGGTGCAAATACTTTTGGAGCGCCAGAAAATCTCCGTATTAACCCAGGCTCAGACATGTATCCAGCACCAACAAATAATTGGACACGAAATGTTCCTATAGATCGTTTTGGTAATTTTTTTTTTGTCAGAATCTTTTTCTTGTTGCGATGTAAAAATCGCTTACTTCTCAATTCCAGGATCAAATGCGTTGATATTTCTAGAAGTTGAAGATTGTTGTTTTCTTTATTGATTATTCTTTATTGATTGTTCTTTTATTTATTCCCAAACTTTTTGTGGGATCTATTCGATTCGTTTTCCACTTTAACATTTTGTGTAGTGACGTCAACAAAATAAAAAAGTACTTGTAGCTGTTCCACGACCGCATGTCACCGAATTTCGTTCTAACTCTAATCGGAAGTTATTTGTAGGGTACGGTAGACCAGGGCTACTCAACTGGCGGTCCGAATCCGGATCTTTCGAGTATTGGATTTGGACCGCACCTAATTATTTATTTTGGATCATTAGCCCCACTTTTTAAGTTTCCTATTATAAAATGACTCTTATAGTTTTGAATATACATGGAAAGAACTATAACACCATAATAAACAATCTTGTTTAGTTAATAATCATTAGTCGACCGAGGAAGTGCGCGTTTAAGGATGTCGAAATATAATTAAAGGAAAGGCCGGACCCAAATAATTTTGAAGTTTTGTATGCGGATCCTCGGTAAAAATACTTGAGTAGCCCAGCGGTAGACTACGATACCGGTATTGTAAAAGATTTCGTTTAATATTTCAGTTCACGTTGAGACTGGAAGCATGAATCATTATCGTCACAGGATCTGAAAAAACGGGAACAGTCCGGGTACCGTTACCAATTTATCGGGCAGGTACTGGTTAGTTATCGCAGTTGTTCCATAGTTCCACCTTTTTCAGGATATGATTTTCGTGAGCATTGCTCTCTTATTCAGTTATATTTTGACGACATATCAATCTTGCGTTGGGCAGATAAGGATATTAAGCGGAAATTTTGTTTGTCAGTATACCTGTTTGTCTTCGCGTTTATGGCTTTGGGGTAGTTTCAATGGTATATAGGGATGCGACAAGATTCGGATTCGTGGCCGAATCTCCCGTAATTTGCTACTCGGATTCGGCCCGAGCCTTTCATGATTTTACCCGAATCCGGGATATCATACGTCACGCGATAGTCAAGCGCAGACTTTTTCATTCTGTTTTGCCACGAGACTGTCCAGCCTATTTTCTCTACGTGAAATTAAAACTAGGCGCCAAAACTACAAATTCACGACGCCGTGAGAACAAAAAAATGTCAGCGAAAGTCAGTTGAATAAATTCCAGTGTTGCGTGTAGCTTGCCTTCCATTGACAGGCGTCGTTTAGTGAATGTTTACCACGTCCTATTTCAAGCATATACTTGCTAATCCTCGAACAGTGATTAATCCGCAATTAGCGGTAACCATGTCGCTCTGTTCGCCCTTTATCGTTCCATAAATGATCTAGCTATTTCCGGAGAGAAACAAATGTTAGAAATGAAACGATAAAATAATGAAAATTACGGTACTTTTGAGAGAAAAGTACAACTCGCAGATGTCAGTGGCGTTACAATCGTATATATGTACAAAAACAATCTCGCAAGTCGCATCGATTAAATGTGCACAAATTTGGAAACTATTACTCGTGGTAATTGGATGTTAATCGGGCCGACTTTTTATTTATATTCAATAAGTATTTACATACACCGCGATTAGTGACGGGCAAAATCGAATTTTTCCTGATCGAATAATTCGTCTATTTCTTTTTATTTGCCGATAGTAGAAAATTATCAGAAGACTGGAGACTCGATAACAAAGCGGCATCTTTACTTCTTATCCGTAATTTTATCACAATCGCGAATTGTTTTTTTTTGTCACCGCGATCGTTTCGGCGACCGACATCCTAGTTATTGTTGGTAAACTATATTTTTGAGGCACCTTTTTTCACTATCAGTTCTCACGTAACGCCGGACATCGAAGTTTCGGTTTTATATTCCAGGCAGAAGTGTGAGTACAAATCGGCGAAGATATTAAAGACGGTTCCATTACATTTGAACCCACGTACATTTGAACCCATGACAATTGCACCTGTATATTGAACCCATAACTAAACCATGGGTTTTAGCACCTGCATATAGATTGAACCCGTGGATATACGCATGGGTTCAAATGTACGGTCACCATTAAAGACAGCTATTAATTAGTGAATTGATAAACATATTAATTTTATTCTGGTCTCATCTTCTGAATTTGATCTTCCATATCACAGTTTGTAAATTACGGTCCCTGTTTTAAGCGAACAAATATCTATTGTTATTGTTATTTTAGTATTAGATAATAAATAAAAACTCCGGAAATTTACCATTGCGTGCTGTTTCGAGTTATGGCATTTCTACCTAGTTCAAACAATATTTCCATATATTACATTATTTACCTGCCTCATTTAATCTGGTTTGACGTTTCTAAATGTGAAAAGGTGTTGGCGCGCTTTATGCAAAATTGGCAATTGTAAAGATAACAATAGGCGCAGAAAGAAAACCAAAAACGTAATAATTGTCACATTTATCGTTTCTGTCTGTTAGCGAGAGTCGTATGTGATGTCTTACTCGTAACTCTTCTAAATTAATGTTAATAAGTTCGGTTTTGCTTTTCAAAGCGCCGTTATTTGTATTAAAATGAAAATGATTGTGTCATGACCATGAGTTTGAACAGACATCCGTAACTTAGCATATAACACATTTCGCCTTTTGCGTCTCTCTTATTGAATTATAATCAACAATTACACATTCCTATTTTCCGCGGATTCGACAATAGCTATTGATGGTTTTCAAACGAAGAATAGCTAGCTATTGTGTTACGATATATTTATAAGATACATTTATTCGATGCTTCCACAGTTGGCAATTCTTTATTAATATCTCAATTATTACGGAGATGGGCGTCTGTATCAGCGCCGACTAAAAAAGATAACATAAGTAAAAATTTCCTATAAAAAATTTGTTTCAAACGTGTGGGTTGTGGCCCATATTTATCGTGACAGGACACGAGCGCGGCGTCTTCAGCAGTCGACGCGGCGGTCGATCAGAGTTACGTAACAAAGTATTCCTTCGACGGGGAATAGGACCTATTTATACTAATTTAAACTAGCCCCTCAGCGAATGATTGTCTTGAAAGCAATAGTGTTTATGTGCAACGTTTTTAATTGCATAGTCTTATCATACGATACAGAATGTTTAATTTACGGCCAATATACGCGAACAACAGCTTCACTTTAGGTATTTATTTCGGAACTATGTAAAAGTATTGGACTCGGGACTCGGACACGAGTCCAGCGCAAATACTCGGGATTCGGCCGAGCCGAACCTTTTTGGATCCGTCGCATCCCTAGTATTTAAGCATGTATAAGATTTCAATATGGAATCTGACATATGTTTGTCGGTTTCATTTCACAGTCAATGTTGTAAATATTTTTTATATAAATATATATTTTCACCATACAAGATTATACAAACACAAGATTTGACTGGCACAATAAACAGTCATGGCACATATTGGAAAGATCGCTGGACCTGGGTCAAATATTATACAAAATATACAAACAAAATTGATTAATGATACACCATAATTTACAATAAAATACAAAGGTAAAACCCAGTCGAAGAGTGAGTGACTGCACGTTCACACTCTGGTGACGTCATCCATCGACGAATGGCGCCGCATAGAAGCTCTTTCGTTCATACTCGCATAAATGTCAGACTGGGACATCCTTTCCAACCACCCCATACAAACATCAAATTTACACAATTTTTCATTGATTATCCATTACTCGCCTTGCCCGGCGTTTTGGGTTGGGTTTGTGGCTTTAAAATTTCAGTGGATACTCTGAATAGCATTGTCATTACTGTAATAAAATTTCTTTCGGCCGTTGAATTTTTCAACCAATTTAAAATGAACACACTTAAGCTAAGATCGAATCCCGTAAGCATGTCGACTGTTTGATTCATTTGAAGGATCCTGAGTGTCAGATTTTAAATCCGAATGCAACTTCGAGTATTCGCCTTTTCTAAGTTTATTTTCCGAATCGCTTTCTGAACAACTTGACCCTATACCGTGATCTGACAACGTTTTCGAAGACTGATGTAATACGTGATTAACGACATCTTGGATCCAGGCATTGTCCGATTTGTTTTCTTCTTTTTCAATGAATTCACTTGACATGTTACTAACTGCATCCGATTTCCATTCTCGTCCAGTCCCAGCTTTTGCGATACGATTCTGGGCAGGATTATGGTCTGTCCGCCAATTTCTGCGCTGTTTTGGCTGGTGTGGCTTCGAATTAGATTCATATGCCAGAAGACAAACCTATGTATAAATATCAGTATGAACAGAATATATATATATATATTTGAATATCGAGAGAAATTTGCTCTGCCTTTGCGACAAGTCGCAAAACATAATAGGCTGACGCTTTATAAAATTATTGCAAACCTTTTCTATTCCGTGTGACTTCCTTGAATTCGTCAAAAATCGACAGGCGGCCATCGCGGATTCGCTCCTTTCGTATTCGATAACAGCATTTACTTTTGTCCACAGCGTTCTGTCGTTGCGTTTTTCCAAATGCTCCAAAATTTCTCCCGGACACTTGAAAGGAAAATTTTTTCTATTGCGTTAAAGTGTAATAATTGCCATGATATATATAGGGCTTGTAATATACGTTTGTATTTAGTGTTTCTACAAATTTCAAATTGAAGCTGATCGGTTTTCATAAAAAGCAGTCTTCCATATTTGTTCAATTTTTTCTTAAATTCTAAAACATAATTTCCTGCATTGATATTGCTCCATGTAGACTACATATTTTATTACCGCGCATACCGAAAGCATCATTCTTTCATAAATAAACATGCAATAACTCACGTCTTTCCCAGGTCTGATGAGACGAACAGAAGACATGTCTCCGCACTTGTAAAATACATTCATAACAGCCTCAATTTTTGCTAACCTTTCCGGAATTCCAATAACAAGAACACTGTTCTGGGGTTGAAATCTATATCAAAATAAATCGATGATTAGTGGCAATTTTTTGAGGAGGCATGAAGCTAATTGAAAATGAAAATATTTGTTAAATTTGATCTTGCCCGCCTTATTTTGGATATTTACATTACAAAACAATTCATTTAATTCATTATTTACGTTCCATCTACGTATTTTCAACTTGTTTTATGAATAAAACATACTTTCGTCTTTGAGAACCACTGAAATAAACCCTAAAATAACAAGGGGTAAACGTAACACGTGCATGTAGCTTACGTAGTGTTGTCATACATACATTTTCTGAAACGAAACAATCTGATGTTGGGGAGTTTTATACAGAATGAACTATTCCTTGAAATTTTGAATTCCATTTCTGGTTCTGATACATATATATATATATATGTGATGGCAATATACGACACATGTCAGGACTTGTGTATCAGGCGCCGTTTTTAAAATGATAATCTCACCTTCTCAAATCGCATGGTACTTCAAGAATTCTCTTGACTTTCGTTCCTGCATCATTTACCCGAAGTGCTTTAGATTTTCTTAAGCAGTACGCGGTAATTCGGGGATCTTTAACAAGTTTTCGAATCTGCAATACACAAAGATTATATTAATCCTATAATTGGGGGCCAACTTAGCCTAAAGGCAAACGACTCCATGTAAATAGGAAGAAATGTATTTTTTGCACCAGTATGTTCTGAGAAGCTCGAAAACTATAGGCCTACTACTGTCAAACAGTATAGTCACACATTTGTGCCGTAACCTTGAACGCTAGTATCTTGTGAATTATACCTATGAGCTACTTGAAATAGTAAAGGGACAAGTGGCATTGACCTAATCGCCTTTCACTAATGAAATTATGAAAATTGTATCACATCGTGGCGATTTTTACAAGATCACTACGGTGCCATATTGTGGCAGAATATGATAATGTATAAATGGCTTGCTTTATTGTTTTGATGTTTGGTCAATTTGAGAAATGTAGGTAACACACACAAAAAAAAGTAACACACCCCTCGTAATTTCGAATACATAAACATAAGATCACAGAAACCCAGTTTTCATAAACGTTTTCTACCGATACGTATACATTTCTTTTAGTTCCCTAAGATATCATGTTAAAATAATTTTTTCTATTTACCTTTTTAAAATTAGTTATGAGCTTCATGCTGAGATAACCTTCTTTCTTCCTTCGTATTTGTCGTAAAAAATAAGCATCTCTTGACAAGTAATCATCGGAAAAATAGTATTCAGCCTAGAACATTTTAAAACGGAAATAAAATTATCGAAATGTTTACAATGGTAATAAAATTGAATTGCAATCCATAATGATTAAATTTATTATTGATATTCGGACATCCAGAAGTATGTGCACCAAGATGACGCACAACCTGAAAATAGTATGGGTACCAGGTTATGGTTCAGGTTGTGCGCCATCTTGGTGAACATACTTTGGGAGCGCCTGATATTCTTGAGCAGTGATGTTTGCTACTCTCTCATATGCCAGCAACTGCTAGGAAAAGAAAATGTCGGATGAAATCGAGTTAGTATTTACATTTATAAATAATATTTTTTAATCAATTTTCTATTATATATACATATTTATGTCTGGTCTACGCTATTTACTAAATACGGGAGGCCACGGCGGTAAAACAAAAATAACCATAATTGTGTATGACGAGGATTATAACTTTGAGTAGTTAATGAACACATCCACATACAATGGCGACATAAACGATTGAAGATTATGGCACGCGTTTATAATTAGGAAAACAAATCACCTACTCATTGAGTACAATTAACTGTTAGTTATATCTCTAACAGGTCATAAATAGAAGAGAAAGTATATTTATATGTATCCCGAGAGCATGTGACAATTTGTTTATTGAGCTCTCAGGTGTCACAAATTGATTAGGGCATTTACAAGACTGATAGCATTATGTGATAGATCAGATATTTGGTTTGAATAAACAATGTATGTGCGGATTTGCTAATTGCTGTTAAATAATGTAACGGAAACGCAATACGCCATAAATCTGTCGGAGCATGTAAAATTCCTAGGAATTTTAGCTGTCATTATTTTGTCAATGTCATTTCAACACCTTCAGATAATTGAACCGAATAAATCCTAAAGCTTTATTTATATTGTCACAATATCCCTGTTTGTCTTTCATTCTCACATTGTTCCATTATCGAATCCCACTCATAAATCACTGTCATTGAATTTTGAATCAGTCATATAGAAGCCGTTTTGTAACCAATTCACACAAATCCTTGAAGTTTACTCACCTGATGAATTATAGCAAGTTGTTGCGCTATACCTGGAAGTTCCCAAGGTAGTAATGTTGAGTCGATGGGAATATCACCTAAAATTAAAATATATATATATACATATAAACTTCAGATAGGAAATAGATTTAGGGAGATTAGTTCGCCGTTATTTTGCACTATAGTCTTTGTTTGAATTACATTTTTGCACTATAGCAAACAATTTTATTGCTGATGGTAAATCTTTTTCTCTCTCCATAATATTTTTTAACGATCGCAAAAAATGATCCTATTGAGACAATTTTGTCAGCAACAAGTCGAACAATGAAAAAAGTCGATCCTACCTTGTGAGTTATCCAACGAAACGTTGGAGAATTCCGGCACTGAATTATTTCCATTCGACTCAACATTGGATTCGTCATCGTAGTCAAAGTACGATCTTTCGGAAACTGCTATACCGGAATCGCAAGATAAAAGTCGTTCGTCTTTGTCAGTGATCGAAAAGGAGGATTTAAATAACGCGGCCAAGTCAGCAGCTTCATTGCCGAAGCGTGAAATATTTTGCGATACTGTACTACTTTTATTGCAATTTTTTCGTCCATTTCCCCATTTCGGTACAACATGCCTACAATGCCCTGACTTTTGCCCTTGGAAATCCTCATAACTTTGTCCAATCCGACCAATCAAATGCCCGGGATAGCTTTGCTGTGATGGGGCAACCCGTAAACAGTCTGGCGCAATCATATTTCAGTTTAGCACTTGCGCAAATTCACGGTCAATGCCGCTTCGGCGCTGATTCTAGTTCCGGGTCTGAACTGAACTGTATCGTCGACGCGTAATCATTTGTATATGTATCTTTATAGAGTCAGCTCATTCCACATTTAGAACGCTGTTTATCGAATTCGCTAATACATAAACCGTCGTTCATTGTCAGTGCCACGCAGGTGCTTACGGCGATGATTTAGAAACGGTCGTCTCGGCAATTAACCTCTTTGCGGAGGGAAGAATAGCATTTCTACTTGAAATTCGAGCGTTTAGAAGCGACTCCCGTTGTAAATTAATAATAGCATTTTAGTAATGTTATATGGTGGTAATACAACAAAGTGCATTTACCAATGAAATAATATTGAAGTGAAAGCACTTTGCATTAGAAATTATAAATGTGTAATAAATAATAATATAGAATAGAACTTGAGCAAAATTAAATTATATTTTAAAATATATATACTCCATAAAGTTTACGACCTTCAAATATATATGCAAATTAAAAGCGTGTATTATAAATGTGCTTTAGTTGTGTTTATTCATTTTCTAATAAATAAGCAGTTTATTAATAAATTTTTTTCGGTTTTCAATGATGATATTGGAAGAAATAACTTTAGGAACTTCAGATACCAAGCCCAGGCTTCCTCGGCAATTTGCACTTTTCCAGGAACCTATCCAACAAGTAAAACAATGCACAAATATTTGTTGATATTTTTACGGTACGGGTACATTTTACAACGGGAAAGTTACGGGTACATGCAACGAGCTGTAAGAAATTACTCTTAAAACTTTCAAATTGGCCCAAATAATTAATTATATTACCAACCGTTTCTACCAGTGGCTTGATTTAAAGCAGAAGTCTCCAACTTAAAATGTCATGAGCTACTTTTTGAACTTTATTGCGATACGGGCCGCAAACCAAGAAATTAGGTCCAAATTGATACATAAAAAATAACAAAAGAAATTAATATGTATTAGTTAAAATTACACTTGAATCTTACACCAAACAAAACATGAAACATATTCATTTACTTGTGCTGGATATTTGGCACCGTTTTGTAGCGGTTTAAACTGACAAGAGTCGAGAGACGCGACGTATTATGATTAACAAAAACAACAGTTTTCTGGTTTTATAGAGCGATGTTAAGATGAACATTTTTAACTATACTGAATATAACAAATTTGCGTGAATACAAATTTGTTTCGCCATTATTGAAATGAAAGGCATTTTAGGTACGATTCTCATTAAAACTGAAAGACATGTGCTGGGAAATTTTTCGTGTAGAGTAGAGCGAGTAATGCACGAAAACATTGCGGACAGGACAAGTACACAATTTTCATTTGCATTATATCTCCATCCAAAAACAAAATTTGATTTATTTTATAGTATATTCTGCAATTTTTCATTCACTCTGAAAGCTAATTTGTCTATGTCGCTATATCCATCCACAGTGAGAAGTATTTAGCCTGGTTTAGATCACACATTGCCACAGTTATATATTCAGGGCTGCCATAACGTCCTTGTTTATAAGATTTGTCCTTATTTTGAAGGTCTTTGTCTTAGAAAATATTTTTGTCTTTTTTTCTGAGAAACGCCTTTATTTTGTTATGTGTCCCTATTTTTGTCCTTATTTGTTGGGTAGAGGTTCTAATACCAGGCACTTCGATTGGTCAATTCGAATCACTGATTCGCTAGAAATGATATTTTACAACCTCATTGATTGCTACGCGCATTTATTACGTAATAACAGCAAATTAATTGGCACAATGACAAAACAATAGACCGGCCAAAATCAGTTCGTGTAACTTGAATCAAAATACAACTGGAGCAAATCCTTTCTAGCGCAAGGTATGATTAGACACGGGTCGCACTGGCATGAATACATTTTGTTTATTACATTTCATTCTTCGTTATTCTATCATTATGTTTCCCTGATGTCCTTATTGATGGCAGCCCTGGTTATATTATTGGACATGAAATATACATATGGATAGTTTTGTTATTATTATGTTTTTGTTCAATTTGATAATATTTTTAGTTTTGCAATTACAAAAAAAGTTGTTTCTGATTTCACCAATGACATTAATTTCATTGATTTCACATATTTACGATTTCACTCAAACAACCCGTGCGTGGCCGGATGCGTCAGTGGTAAATGTTCCCGACTTCACGTGAACACATGATTAGTGACGTCAGAGCAAAACAAAACATCTTTGTGTTGGTGTCCTGCTGTTTTTTGTCGCGGTTAGTTCTGCAGCCTGGCAGTCAAGTAGCCTAGTTTTTCGTATTTTTTTTGTATTTCGTTTCTATGAGTCAGTAAATTTGTTGAATTTATTAACTTTTCGTTGCATTTTGTGTTAGACAAAAACAGGTTTCAAAATATCTGATAAAGCATACAGGTAGACTACCGTAGATCTGTACATTCCGAAGCCGAAGGCAGGTTCGTCTGTCTGTCTGTTCGTGTCCAACGCCGCTTCAACCGGTGTTCAGACTATGGCGGAGTCTCAAGATTATCAGGTAGTCTACCAGTGATAAATTAGATTTTTCAATTTACCACCATAGTCAGATAGTACACTCAATTCTGCAAAACCAATAACTTAGCGATTACTGCTGTACTGGATTGCAAGACTAATCTGAGGTATTTGCCCAAATACAGAATTACCGCTAATGTCAGAATGTCGGTATGGTTTGTTAATTACAGTATTCACAAACAGACAAAAGGATGGAATCGGCTCAAATACAGGAATTTGCATTTTGATAAGGAATTATATTTCATTAAACTATTTTATGTTCATTGTTTTCAGGATGTCTACGAACAGGGTGGTGTATTCATTAATGCTAAAGAGGATGAACAAAATGGGGGAGACATATTGCTTGGTGGAACTTTATATATAACAGAAATGGTATGTCAGTACGTTGAAAAATTTGTATTAACATAATTCTGTAATTACTGTACTAATATATTTTATTTTTGTACATAACTTGTATTTTAATTTTACTACGATTGAATTTTCTTATTTAGCAAAATTTAAAATATTGAACAATTTGATTTGTTTTTGCAATACTAAAAATAATTTCGTGTTATATTTGGCCTTTAAATTTCTCAAAATTTATTTATTTTTGTTTAAGAACGATAAAAGATATATCAAGTGGATTGTCTATCATGAACCAGATAAAAACAATTCTGAAAAAGACGATACGTATACATTAGATGGAGAATCAAGTTCTGTCTTGCATTCTCATTCCAGAGATGAGTAAGTTATTTTCCTACCTATTCTGATGAATAGTATATAACATGTAAATGCTTATTTATTAAAAAGTTGTCAATAATTTTGATTCGTTTATGATGGAGATCTTACTTTTTCTATATTCAACAAAATCTGTTTCAACAAAAAATAGTTTGATTGTTTGTATTTTTGTGATGTAACTTTTAAATTCTACATACTTTGTAATTTTCTTATATGTAACATTTTATTGTAAGCTTCGGTATACTTTAGGATTTTCATATTTTCGACTTTGAATATTCATGTTCAATCAAAGGTTGAATGCTCTACGAATTTCACATATTGGACTTATATAAGCCATTCCAAATATTCTTAATTGCGTGATTATGCATAGAACTCTTTTAGAATCAAATTGGTTCCATATTGTGACATAGTCTCAAATTATATTGAAATTAAAAAAAATTCTTTGTCGTTGAGTGCAATGGAATTTCATGCCTTTGGAATGGAAATATTAAACCACAATCTATAGCGTGATTGTATATTTTTTATATTCATCCATAAAGGCTTCGAATTTCATTATTTTTATAAATTAAATGATAGCTGAATGTTGTCGTTTGTAAATAATGTATACTGTTCCATAATTGAATAAGCCAAAGTATTGATGCAGAATACCTAAAATATTATCATTCAGATATTGAAAAACTCTAAATAGTTCAAATTTATATTTTTTTTCTTAAATATTTCAGTAGTCTGAGCTCTGTAAATGAGTACCAACCAATTGATCCTGACTGGACACTTATAAACAATGGTGGTCAAACAGTCGCATTTTTAAAAGTTGACAAAGATGGGAAGAAAATGCAACGAGGTTCTCTATCATCAGAAGCAGAAGCTGATGAAGAAGCTGCCAAATATAATATTTCTGTGGAAATAGCTGAATTAGATTTAATGAAAAGGTAGATTTATTTTATGGTTACCAGGAAGCGATGGCATTTAAGAAAATTTTTTAAAATTATGCTTATGTTTAAAAATAAAATTACTGTATTGAATTATTGAATCAAATCAAAGTTACAGAAAACCACTACCATTTTGAACTTATTATAAAATAATATCTATGTTTGAAAATGGAGTTTTAAATAAATTCTAAATTATATAACATAAACTAGGAACAAATAGAAGTCAATATATATTTGATATACTTCCTCCATTTCGGAAATCCAGAATGGTTTGATAAATAATAGCCTAATCTGTTTTCTTCATTTTTACCGCATTTAGGAAATAAATGAAGACATTTTTAATTTGGTATACTTAGCCTTTAGAAAGTGTTCAAAATTTTTCCCTAATACTTCCCAAAAATCTAGACTTTGACATATTGAATTATAACTAATTTCAAATCCATTCAATTATATTATTCATTTTGAATTGAGCATTGTAGGATAGCCTACCGGTACTTTAATTGGTGATTTTTTTATTCTTACATTGTAAAATTCAATGTTGTGCAAGTTGATAAAGGTATTACAGGTTTAAAATATCAGGATTGAATACCATGTCAATCACCGCACGTCTGTTATGAAGATGTGAATAAGATAACTGAATGTGAATAAGAAAAAATTATTAAAATTGTGTGAAATAGTCATGGAAATCTTGCTGATAGCATTAATAATATCAGAAGAGAATAGCAAAATACAAGTATGCGCCATTGTGGAATGTACCTGTTGTATACAGGGTGTCCAATAAGTTTCGCCCGATTATAAAGTCTTTATAATCAAATGGTATTATTTTTTTTTTAATTTTAAAAAAGATTTATAGTCAACCTGTTTCTAATTGGATGTTATAGATGTTAAATGTTGTAGTCCCCATTTATCATACAACCAAATTTATTCAAATTTGCAGTAGGTAATGCTATGAAATCGGGCGAAACTTTTTGGACACCCTGTATATTAACTGGTTTATTCAGAGGGGACATTCTGGAAATTCCAACATGCCAACATTCCAACATGCCCCCAACTTTGCATTTGTTCTCATTACTTTAGATCAAAAAGAGGATTGGGTTGGCCAAACGTCACACTTTGGCGTAAAGATGGTTCTGTTCTACCCACGTTTCATTTCCATGACAAAGGTTGCAAGAAATTTATCAAAACTTTGAAGATGTATGCTTATGCTATGCCGAGAGTGTTTTCAATGATTTTAAAATATTAATTGTTTTGAATAAGGATAAGGATACAAATTTTTTTACAATCAACTGAAATTGTGCGATACAAATTATATTCTTCTATCGATTGGTGATTTACGAGACTAATTACTTATCCTTCTTTTATGCTTTTGTCGCGGTGGATTTGTATGCATTTAATGCAAGGGCGCTGTAGCAAGAGTACTTTTGTGTTAGTTCACAGCAAGACTCTTAAATCACTTTTGTTCATTTATTTTGTATTCAACTTTTCTGGCCAAATCCTGTGTGCTACCAGTGCCAGTCTTGTCATCCGTGATGTTAATAAAACTGAATGAGCAATAGATCAAATTACCATTTTATGTATTTTTAAAGTATACAAAAATATCTATATATATCTTAAGATTTCCCAAAGATCCTTATACATTCCGATTGACTCAACATGATGATAATGCACTTACTCGTTCATTTGATGAACTTCAATTGTTTGGAAGTTCTCCTGCTGCCAATAATGACACGTCACGACTTTTCAAGGTAATAATAAATAAAATAAATTTCAAAAACTGTAAATGATTTAATTAAGCCTGTAATTAAATGGTGTGGCAGGTGGTGCCAAGTAGGGATGGGCAATGTAGAATAATTTACTATTCTAGAATATTCTAGAATAGTTAAATCGAATCCAGAATACCGAATCCTATTCTATTTTCATACTTATTCAAATAGTGGGAATTTCTACATTGCTGGATTTAGATGGTAAAAAATTGCAAATGTATTACTTACTATAAATGTGTTATCTATTTGGAAATGTCCTGAACATTGGATTTCATTTGATACTAAACAGGCAGTTCCCAGGACAATAAAATTTAGGAATTTTACAATATTTTTTGCCTTCAATTGTTCCAAATGTATGTAATTCCTAAATACTAATAAATACTGATATGCTAAATTAAGACACGCTTTACACACTTTAATAGTAAGCGGCTAAATACAAAATAGACATGAAACGGCGGTAAATCATTATTAATGTAAGTCTGCCGAGTATACTAAAACATACCCGCTGAGAATTAATTAGATGCTGAACCAGCGTGTGGCCACTGCAACCTATGCGCCGTTGTAAAATATTAAATTTAACCACTATCAATTGAGATCAACCTTTTATTCTGTGAGAGCAAGACACGTAAAACCAAGTTCCCGTAAACGCTATTTCGTACTTAGTTATTAGGTAATAACATCTGAAGACGAACTCATTTCAGAACTCACCCAGACTTGGCCCTACTCAAATTCAATACGTCACTATCTTCGCCAGATGCGGCAACTTTTTTTAAAATTCATCGGCGACTAAAATACTACAGACTTTCGATCAAACGTGCGTCTATCTTGAACGATAGAAATGTTATCATTATCTACCCAGACTTAGCCCTACTCAAATTCAATACGTCACTATCTTCGCCAGATGCGGCAACTTTTTTCAGAATTTATCGGCGACAAAATACTACAGACACTCGATCAAACGTGCGTCTATCTTGAACGATAGAAATGTTATCATTAATCATTATCTACCCAGACTTAGCCCTACTCAAATTCAATACGTCACTATCTTCGCCAGATGCGGCAACTTTTTTTCAAAATTTATCGGCGACAAAATACTACAGACACTCGATCAAACGTGCGTCTATCTTGAACGATAGAAATGTTATCATTAATCATTATCTACCCAGACCTAGCCCTACTCAAATTCAATACGTCACTATCTTCGCCAGATGCGGCAACTTTTTTCAAAATTTATCGGCGACTAAAATACTACAGACACACCATCAAACGTGCGTCTATCTTGAACGATAGAAACGGACCGAAAAATATGCAATCTTTTGAGAGTGAAATTTAAATGTGACAGTTGTTCGCGTTTTGCGATATAACTTTGTATTTCGGAAAATGGTATAATAAAATTATTCGTAAATTATATTTGATCTAAGTTAATGGCGAGTAATGTTATAACATTTAACGCCTGGCTTTTGGTTTACGTGCATCATTTTTTTGGGAAAACTCATAGGTCGCGAAAAATCATTTAATTTAAAATGGGGCAAGGCACGTCTGTAAACAATTAAAGATTGTTGCATTCAGATTATCGGAATATCACCAGTAAGTCGGCACAAATAACGCTAGCTAGATAGCAAAGAAGGAAAATGCCAAAATGGTGCAATAACGAGTCCTTGCCATGAGGTTGTATTACCGACTTCTTGTCCTGAATATGCCGATTGAAATGACAGTGTTTGATGTTTACCGATTTACGGGTTCTTGGCGAGCAGACGCAAGTTTAATTAAACGAGAGAGATTCCCACGCGAGAAAAACGCTCGTCTTTAATTGATAAATTAGAAACCCGAAATTGACGCTTGGCGCCGGAGAGGCGGAAACCGAATCCTGTTATCGGATCCCGTTGGATTCGAATACTTTGGGATTCGAATCCTCCGGATTCGGTATTCTATATTGCCCATCCCTAGTGCCAAGCGTTAGGAATTCGCTCGCCACTGTACCTTTGATTACACTGCATAGGTTCGCAGGTTCGAATCCTGTGGGGATAATTATATGTAATAGGATTGCTGGACTCCTTGCCATCGTAAGGTGGTTCACGTAGCTGCATGTACTGGTAACCGGACGAGAGGCCGTGGTTCGGGTTATTTAGCAGATTTTTGGGTTTCATCAAATTTGCCTCCAAAATATCAAAAAAAGAATAGCAAAATAGAAGTACGCGCCATTGTGGCGTGTACCTGTTGTATATATTAACTGGTTTTATTCAGAGGGCACATCCTGAAAATTGTCAAAGAGGTCATTGTTGCCAACCAATATTATTTTTTTGGAAGCCTTAAAAATTCAATCCAGATAGACACATGCCAGTGGCCGAGTATAAACCCTGCTTGACCGATCATTTCAGGACTCGTCAGATTTTGCACTTCGTTCGTTCTCGAGAGTTACAAATTTCTTGCAAAACATCATGGTTCCATCGGAACATCCCAGTAATAGACCAGCAAAGGAGACTGCACAAGTTGTAAGTGAGGATTTGATAGAAACAATTGGAACGAGCCGAATTCAAATTCAACCTGACGAAACACAAACAAACGGCTTTGAAGTTATAACATGTGTAAGTGTGTTGATTTTTTTTAATATTATTGGACAAAATTAATTTACTAATATAAAATCACAATCAATTTTCCCAAAATCTTGAATTGACAAAGCTGCACTTGTCAGCCATGAGCTAGTTTTTAAAATTTTGACTTGGTTTCAGTAACTTTGAAGATTTCGGGAAAAAACGAGCATGCCACAAAATTGCATTAAAAAAGGTGGAAAATTTGGAGGGAGGGGTATGGCCCCTTAACAAGATTCCAAAAAAAATTCTTTCAAATACTTTTGCCATCGCCTCCCAGCAATCAAATAAAATGATAAAGTGGTGATAAATTGTGTACCGGGTTTTGGATCGCGACCCATAGGTTGAGAAACACTGCAATAATAAACATCAGCGATGTACTTAGGTGCGTGCTGGTTGTATATAGCCTCTGAAAAGTGAAACAAGAACAGATGTATTCTAGATCAGGGCTTCCCAAACTAGCTTCCGCGGCCCTTAAAGGGGCCGCGAAACGAATTCTAGGGGCCGCGAAGAGAACACCAATTTTACACAAAGTACTATATCTATTGCACTTTTTTACTCTTGATTTAAAATACAATTATTAAAAATAGTGTAAAACGATAATTTCACGATTTCGAGTGAATATACATCATCATACCGTGTTTTCCCGAAAATAAGACATTGTCTTCAATTTTCTTCAGAACACTGGGGCTCATTTTGGGGGGATGTAGAGAATAACAAGATTTTTTTAATATACAAAATATGAATACCGAAATATATAAATAATATGATTGAATATGATACCAATTTAATAGCACGTTTTCATTTAAAATAGCTGCTACATATAGGTTATTAACCATTTAAAAAGTAGATTTCTTTCTATCGACTAGGACTCAGTGGTTTTCGAACTTTATTGTATTGCGACGCCCTCCAGAAATATGCTCAAGTTGCGACTTCCCGTGAAACGTACCGTACATATTGATACATTTCAATACAATACCTTTTTTTGCAATGAGTTTTATATAAACGAACAAACAAAATCTAACAACAGTCAGTGAAATCACATTTGTTGGGCCATGGTAGAAAAGCCTGCTTTATATAAATACGAAATCGCAAAGGAGATGGGGTGCGCAACGCTTTTTAAACCAAGGAAAAATAATCGGTTCCTACAGAAAACCGAATTTTCAAAATTAGGTTTAGGTGAACAAATTGCGCTATTGACGAAGTCTTTTTTCAAGGCGAGCGGTTGAATTAAAATCATTTTTAAAATTTAGGCTTGGACTTATTTTGGGGGAAACACGGTAGAATCATCCGCTTGCATAACAATGCATATGCTGAACCTTTGACCCGATTTGCGGGCTTGCATAACAATGCCGGCTTCAAACGCTAAGCTAGCGGTTCCGGAAAGCGATTTGCTCAGTGCGCCTCGAAACATATTACATATTATATTTATTCCAAATGTTTTATTGTTTCTCATTAAAGCAAATGAAATGTATATGAAGCAAATTCATTTTACCGTTCTATATTATTTACTTTCGGTTACGTTGTTACGTAACAGGTAAACCCTAATGCTGCAATTTCGTTGGCCGCAGTTTATTCATTTGCTGAACCGAGTTTATCGAACATGAGTGAGTTTTAAGCATTTTGAAGAAAAGCTAGGCAGAGTTAGGCCTACATGTTTTATAAACCTCAAAAGGCACAAAGTACATATTAATGATGACAAACTTTTTATTTTGCAGCAGCATATTTTTTTAGTGGAGGTGCGCCATTAGTTTTTTCCTTGATGATTTGGTGCCGCTGCAAACTGCTGCTTTATGCTAAGTTTGATCAATGAGAGTGAACAATTCCGGAGTATGACCAGGTCGTCGGTGGGCAGACATCGTAATTTATCATTAGGCCTGCATAAACAAACATTGCACCACGGCTGAACTTGCTATGCAGCAAGAAGCATTCGCACCCATTACATTGAATAATCTGAATACAGATGTTTTTGTTATTGAGTAGCCCTATTAAAAGTTGAGAATTAGCTGTGTCAATAAAATATCAAAAATGCATATTTTGAACTGTTTAGCATTATTAGCGTGAACAATGGCCGCGAAAAATTTTAATTTATTGAAAGGGGCCGCGAGCTCAAAAGTTTGGGAAGCCCTGTTCTAGATTATATTGACTCTGGTGTGCCGTAAAATCATATAATACTTTTCTTTAAAAGTAGTATAAATTTAATGACGGCTGTGCCCTTATATGACAGCAGTTTTCTAATGGTTTCACATTCAATTTAGGCACAATTGGGTCCACGATCAGAACAACCAAGAGGACTCCCAGTCACGAACGCATTATTGGAAACCCATAAAGATGAGGAAGGAAGGATACATAGAGTGGATGAATTGATGTGGGCAATATTTCATGGTGTAAGTTATGATTATTTGAACTTGTTTTTAATTTTGAGTATAACTCCCAGTATGTAATTGGTAGCAAGGAGTGGAGTCGAAGAAGGTTTACAAATGACTTCCGACTTGGGTTAAGAAAATTTAAACTTCGAATCAGACCCCCAACTAAGGGGTTGTAAAAAATGTTGAGTCTAGGGAATGGAACCTCGTTGAAAATTATCATTTTATAAATATTTTTAAGGGCATTGATCCAAGTCTACGGAAGGAATTATGGAAATATATGCTGAAGTATTATGATTGGAATATGACAAAACAAGAGTTAGCTGACAGAAGAAGAGCTAAAGAGTAAGTAGAATTTAAAGAATCCTATTTTGATCAACCATTTTCATTCACTAAATTTTTTGAAATTGCTATCACTATTCTAGGTCTTAAATATTGGCATCCTTCTGGGGTTTGAAGCCTATTTAAACATTCTTCTATGAAAGGTAATTGATTCAAGTTACTGTGTCAGTATCCATTCTTTGTTCTACCTACTTATAAGTGATTCATTTTTAAGTAAAGCTTTTTTCCGTGATGATGGTTTTCCTGACAACTAAAATTTGTTTTGTAGGGATGATTACTACAGAATGAAAATGCAATGGAAGTCGATTGACGAAGATCAACAAAAAAGATTTGCTTTACTCAGGTGAAAATTCGTTATGTGATAACTGATAATAAAATTGTTATTAACGTTCATTGAACTGTTATTATCGTGGAATAATAATTTTTTATTACAGAGAGAGAAAAAATCTCGTAGAGAAAGATGTCATAAGAACGGATCGTACAAGAATGTTCTATAAAGAAGATGGAAATTTGAGTTTGAAATTGCTTTTCGATATTCTGATGACATACTGCATGCATAATTTTGATCTTGGTAAATATTTCATTACGTAAAAGTAGAATAGAATAAGAATTTTGGTACTCCCGTAGTATATGAACTAAGATGGCGGACGCCGGAACGTATTTTGTGTACCATTTTAGGGTTAGGCCATATTTCATTCCAATTTTCCCTATTTTAATTCTATTACGAGTTCGGGGACATGCCAAGTGACTCCCGTAGTATTTGTACCTCAAATTATGGCCTAACCCTAACCTGGTACACATCGTATGGTGGCCATCCATTGGTAGAATCAGTTTTGCTTGTGGCATTGTGGCCCGTTCCAATTGCTCTGTGGCCCTTCTTGGGAAGCCACATGCCTCCGATTGGGAACCGCTGCTATAGCGACTTCTTACCTAGCAATGCCTGCTCATGCAGAGCCTTGTTCGAAGTGAAGAGTGTATAAATTGTCGTATTTTCAAAAATTTAAAATATTGCGAGCCACAAATAGGTGTGAATATCCAATTTGTTTTGGATATCCCTGCCTTTAAGAAATCTCTCAGTTAGAGTAATCTCTTTTACTTCATATTATATGTTCTATTGGCAGGTTATGTTCAAGGCATGAGTGACCTTCTGTCACCTTTATTAGAAGTTTTGGAAAATGAAGTTGATGCTTTCTGGTGTTTCGTTGGATACATGGATCTTGTGGTAAATTTACAAATTTATTCATCTAGTGTCGAGATAACCTACATGTCAACTATCAAGTAATAAATTGAATGATAGGTATTGGAGATGATCACTCGACTTCTTGCTGTCATAGGGTTGTTCATATAACCTTTAGTTGATTACGGCTTCCTCTACCATCACGTCCATGCATCTGAAACAAATAACCAGTTAACTAATCCCATACCTGACATGGACTGATAACCGGTCAAGAGGCCGTGGTTCGCCATAGCTTTCCTCTCCCCCTTGATGAATATGTGAATTTTATTCTGTTTAATATTGCAAATTGACTGGCCATCAATTTAAGTTTTTGATGACGTTATAAATTATAATATCACTTGTCATTGCATTGATGCTGATGATTTATTAGTTGTAGTAAATATGTCATAAGGTGAATCATGATGACATAGTTTTCTATTCAGGTAACTTGTTCTGAGTCATATGAATAGCATAAAACCAGGTGGTGAGTTAGGTGATGATTATTTCTAATATGAGTTCTAATTTCGATTAACAAACACTATTTTTGCAATTTTGTTTTGATTCTGGGCATATCAAAACTAACCTATTTCCTATGACTGAATAACTTGTGAAGAGCATTGTTCATAGCAAAAATATCAAACACGAAAACTAATTTTTCCAAATTTTTATTAATCCAGCATCATAACTTCGAAGCCAATCAAGCTGGAATGAAAAGGCAACTTGGTGAATTGAGGGTTCTACTCCAGTTCATGGAACCTCAATTATGGGATCATTTGGATGAAAAAGAATCAGCTAATGTGTATTTCTGTTTCCGATGGCTTCTGATACATTTCAAACGTGAATTCTCGTATGAAGATATACAACCATTGTGGGAGGTATTGCAAATTTTTTTTTAGAATATAATAAATTTCAAAAGTTAGTTTTCTTTATTATTTGCAATGCTTCTGTAAAATTCTAGCTGATAAATAATAAACAAACAATTGCTTCATAAAAAACGTCAATGTGCTTTGTGCAACTAATGGTAGGCATATCAAAGATGTATTAAAAAAACTTAAATAAACAATGAATAAAATAAAACAAATCTGGTTAAGATGTATTGAGAATTATACTTTATAAACACTCTGTGCTTACAAACAGTCAAGTTCTGCAAAACACTGCAAGTATAATTTTCGATCCATTTCTTGCTTGACTTTTTCTATGCAGCTTTGGGTATATAATTTGTAATAATTCTCACTAGATTCACAGTCTTCACAGTTTTTTCACAAGAACAATAAAGTATTTATCACCGCCCTTGTTGCGCAAGATCTAATATGTTGATGCAAATTTGGGATTTTCGAAGTATAAACACCGTTGTAAAGGTGTTCACAACCTAAATAATAGGTCTTGCTGACAGAAAAATCTGCAATTTCAACAAATTGCAATTGCACGCGTTATTAGCGACTCTTTCATTCTTTCGAAAATTTCAAAAGGGGGTTGCTACCACGCCTCTGGCTGCATCATGTGTGCAGGTAGGACAAGCAGTGTTATTATTCAGTATGCTTCCTCGGCCTTGAGATAAATGTGCACTTTCTTATATTATATCACCTGTAAAATATACCAGAATTAAAAACCTTTATTAGCATATTTAAATATCCCTTTTCAGGTTCTATGGAGTGGTCTACCCTGTTGTAATTTCCATCTCCTGATATGTGTTGCCATATTGGAAACTGAAAAACATAATCTCATGAAGGAAGAATGTGGCTTCACAGAAATACTAAAAGTAGGTTTAGTTACATTATGTAAATTTGTTCGGCTGTCGGTTTTTCCAACGCTGTGTTAAGCTGTTTTAAATGGATTGCAACACAGAGTGTCATTTTGATTAATTTAAAATAAAATATTAATTTCTGACATAGATTGGGTTTCTGCGGCATTAACTACAGTATTTTAACGGAAATAAGGCGCACTTTGAATCCCTTTTTTGGCCCCAAAATCCATTGTGCATTGGTAAGGTAGTGCTTGCCCATACTCAAAACCATTACCATTATTGCTTAAAAACCTATTGTATCTTATAGCCCGGTGCGCCTTATGTATGAATAAAAACCCAATCTATGCAATTTATTGACAATGCGCCTTACGGTACGTAAAATACAGTACTTATCCTTCTTCTTTGCATTTGTGCCGGCAGAATCATATGCTTATAATGCAAGGTTGCTGTAACAAGAGTAAAGATAATTATTCTGAGTGTGATGCAAGAGTCTGCTGCACATTAGCATAAATTGGTTTTCGTAATGTTTTGTAGGACAAGCTTAGACTAGCTCGTGAATTATGTAGGCTATGTCTGAGGAAGTATGACCTTGGTCAGACGAAATGTTATGGAAATACATTTGTGGTAATATACAGCAAGATTCTTTGAATCACCTTATATGTAATTTATCGGATTTCGAAAAACTAATGAAAATGAAGAAACTACAACAAGGATTACAACTGTTAATTTTTTTTATTGAGGTCTGAGGTGACAACCACATAAAATGTGAAGTTAGAATTAGGGAAGTCATTCCATCTTTTTTAAACCACCAACCGATTCTTGCCCTCTTATTCTAGAGTTGTAAAAAATAATATTGTTTTTATGTGTAAATGTATGCAATATTCAATTTTTTTGTGTGTTTCTGATTCTAAAATGACATGGTGGAAAAGTCAAATTATTAGTACCCTATTACACTAGCAAATAATAAGTGACTCGTAGCAATACATACAGTTTTATACTGTCTCAATTTAAGAAGTCAGAGTGACATTTATGTTGTTTGCACTGTGCCATGTCTTTTATAGTCCAGTACAGGAATGTGACACAGGCGGCCCGCAGGCCATTTATGGTGGCCCTTGTCAACACTCAGATTTTTCTCCAAGCATAACATCCTAATCTGAGAGTTTATATCTAAAAAGGTACTCACATAGGTAAAATACATAATGTTTCTTGCTCTTGTGGCTGCGTTATTTTTTGCCGCTTTGCCCTCTGCCTTTATTACTGTAAGGCTAAGCGATAGCCACATTCTGCATTTTTGTGTGGCCCAGTTAGAGATTTGAAGATGGTTATATGGCCCATGGACAAAAAATGTTCACACCCCTGGTATAGTATTTTTAACCAAACTTTAACGATTCAGCATTGTCGCTTCCCTTCGTTTCGCAGTTTGCGTACCCCTGGTTAAAAAAAATCTCGGTTTTGCCGTTAATTTTTTAGGTAATCACAGTATATTTCACAACTTTTTTATTTCTATTTTTTCAGCATATCAATGAATTGGCTGGCAACATAAATTTGGATGAGACTCTGCGTAAAGCATATGGAATTTATGAACAGCTCTCTGCCTGTAAACAAGATCTTCCGGATTCAGTCAAATTCATATTGGGATTTAATGAATGATAAAAACCGAACAATTTGCTTGGTGAATTTTTATGCTGGGTGAAATATAATTATATGAGCTGCCAACCTGCCATATTACTAAAATGACAGAGATGTTTTTTTTTATAAATCTCAATAACTATTTATCTGAGTATGGAATGAAATTGTATCGCTTTATACGCTCAAGGCTTGAAATATTCGTAATTGGAATGCTTTTACGTTATTGAACACATTATGTTGGATAATTGTAGTAAAATGGAAAGTTTTTTTACTGATGACTTGTGAATGTTGATGCAGATAAACTTTTTCTTCTGATCTTACATAAATGAATCATTATGGGACTATTAGGTAGGGATGTTACGGAGCGAAACTGGGGACTTGACTCATTTTTAAAGGTTGGCCTGAGGTCGGCTGAAAGTTCACATTTACAATAAATCAGAAATGTGACGGATGGGATTGGACTATTGTGAATTTTTTTATCTTTTCAAATTGATACTTTAAAATTATTATTATGGTAATATTTTGATCCTAAATGAGACAAAATATAATCTTGGAATATTGTAGAGGAAGTTTACAAATACTATTACAACATCATTGTCAAGCAGATAACTTCATATGAATACAAGTTTTTGGACAAACGAAATATACCAGTTTAATATCCCCTTGAACATGACACTCTATTGTTAAAACGAATATTTAAGGTTCGATGATAGTTTTGCATCGTGCAAGCGTTCAATAATTATCTTGACTCATCAATAGCATTATACAATTTTTGTTTATATTATTTTTCACATCACATTTTATTCAAATAATATAGTTTATCTTATGTGTGCAGAAAAACGGAAAAGTATATAACTTCAGTTTAATCTGAATTCCTGGTAGTTTGAAAATCTCATTCAATATATGTACCATTCTCCTTGGTCATCTTTCTTTTTCATTAAGGTCTATTTTTAGTTTATGAATTATTCTGTTTGTATTTTATTATGAAGTCTAATCCAAACTAGAAATGACAATGTAGCCGGTGGTGTATCCCGGATTCTAGTTTGAATATGTATGATCAAATTGATGGCATTTACATATTGAAAACATTGTTTATCTATTAAGTACTGTAAATTTTTGGTTCATCATGCCATAAATCAGCAATGTCGATATGGAATTGAAGCAAATTGGTAACAATTTGAAATTTCAATTTAGAAATGCACACTATTATGTTAAAATAAGAGTTTATATCTCTTTCGCTAATTGAGTTTACTTCCAACATCTTACAAAATGTTGTCAAATCTTATAAAATATTGCTTTTCATTAAAAATTCATTTTTTTTTAACTGTGTGTGATAAAAATTTATTAAGATTCCCAATTTTGTTTTATTCCTTCTTTGTATGTAAATATGCCACTGGCTTGTAGAGTTACTAGGCAGAAGACTTCTGTTTTGACTCTTAACATAAGGTAATTACAGTATCAGTATTGAGTGTTTTATTATTACTTGTTTTTCTTGTTAAAAATAGAGTCCCTCAAATCAATAAAAAAAAAATTATCTTTTTTCGAAATTGTTTAAAAAAGCATGGTTAAATTAATTCTTTTTGCTTTTTTAATTTTCAAGTATTTGTTTAATTAATTAAAAATGTGATTGGGGCAAAATACTTCATGTTCAATCGTCTCGTCATTGCACTGAATTCACTTTATTTGTGGTGAAAATATGAGTTATATTATACAGTATATAGAATTTGTGGTGGATGTACAGGGTTTTTATAAATTCCTAAATTAAATTAGGTAAAAGAACGTTGATGCACTTCGTGCAACTAATGGTGGACTTAAAAGGTGTATTAAAATAAATCGAATAAACACTAATAAAAATAAAACAAACCTGGCTAAGATATATTGAGAACTGACTTCACAACAAAATTTACTGGCAACAGGACTTCATGAACACCCTGTATATCACTTAGAAATAATGTTTGCAAGCTCCGTTATTATAACTATTCCATGTTATCGATATGTTAGCTTTGTTCCCATGTTTTTATAGAATTTGTATTAGTTAGTTGTGATTGTATGACTTATTAACTTGTGATACCTGCTTGTAATTTAAATAGGTATTAACATTATATTGTGCAATACCTAATGTATGTGTATAAAAGTCTGCAATTGCGTTTTTATTTTGTTTACAAAATCGACAGTAAACAATTAAGGCTTCATTAGATTCATTATCGGGCCAACTACAAAAAGAGAAAAACAGTAGAGTGCATATTTTGATGTCATTTTGAATTTTAAAACGCATGTTAATGCTATCGTCATCATAGAAAAATTCTGACTTTCGCTATCTGCCCTCCATTTAATCGTAAACTTCTAACAGAATCCTAAACTTCAGACAATTTATGGTAGATGTGGCAAATGGTTAATGAAAGTGCTACGTTTTGGTAATTTTATTGGTCGTAAAATGCTGCGGAACAAATATTTCAATCTCTCATTTTGTAAAATAAATCACCAGACTTTTTATTTGTGGTGTGTTGTGACTGGTAAGTCGAGTGGGCCTCAACTCTATAATAATTTCTCCCTGGGAGAGGAAAGTTAAGAAGGCTCGATAATATGCACAACCACGGCCTCTCGTCCGGTTGTCAACTCATGTCCGGATGTAACGTAAGGGAAAAATTTTCGCAAATATCTCCCATGCATAGTAATCAGAAATGTGACGGCGGGCGTATTCGTAACGCGCAACGATACACCAACCGTCTTTCCTACCTTTGAAGTCCTCGTCGAGGGGAAGCTTTTGTGTCCGTCCTTATAACTCCTGGTGCGATATCTTGCATTTTTGACTCGATTTGGCAAGTTATATAACAAGGTTTGCAATTTGAAATGTTAATATGTCTACACGAAGTTGTCGGGTGTCGCACAGGTAGGGCATTTGCAGAGATCAGCAATCGGCCACGAAGTTGGCTTGGTTCACTGCAGTCGTATTTCAAACTCGTTGCAGTCAAAATTGCGAATTCAAAGTAGTATGACTCTCATACTTGCAATAGTGATAGAAAGAGGATTTCTTGAAACTAAAGGTATTGAATCTACGTTAACTGTATATTAAATAGGCTTACATAGCTTGGGTTTTGTTAAAATATTCTACCTTCTCGGGACTGAAATTATTGCCGACTCAGCAGGTTCTGCTGGTTTCAGACTGATCGATGAATTGTGTACGCCACGCGAAAATGTACTCCCGAAGCCTGACCAATAAGCACGCAACGGTAAACTATGCTGCAATGTCACGTTAAAAAAATTACGAATTTATTTAAAACGTTTCCTGCAACCAGTTTCAAGATCGAAATCCACCCGCGGGCTCATCTATTATTCATGTAAATTGATTTATGTGCTTCGATCGATGCCTTATCATTCCAAAATCTAATTTTCCAGATTGCATCGTGCAATGAACGTGAATTACAGGTGAATGGGGTTAAAACATAGATATAGTAAAGATTGGATAATGCATAAACATTTCAACAGCATGATGGGAGCACACTTGTTTTATTACTGCGATGTCAACCAGACCACAGGTTTATTAGGACAAAGCTGTTGGTATTTTTGTTGTTGTTGTTTTTTCAATTTAAAATAAATACCAATTAACTTGGAGTTGATATCCTTTTTCACTTTTATCAAAACAACGAGATCCAAATTTTAACCGACAACGGCCTGTCGGTGACTAAAAACAATGACACACATAGGATAGCCATTTTATTCTATGAGAGACAAATCAAAAACAAGTTTCCTTGCGTGGTTGATATTTAAAACAGTTCTTTGAATTTTTATTTTAGCGACTTATTATCCATTACTTATTTGGATCTATATCGAGAGTGAATGTTCAGTAGAATATACGAAGATGTTAGCATTTTCAAAAAAAAAGCAAAAATAATATATATCACATAAACCTACGTCACTTGACACTGAACGTTTTAGCACATCTATATTCAAATATCAACACGAGTCGCTGTACATCCAACATAGAGACAGTCCATTATATACAAATTACACAGTGACCAGAAATGGAGAAAATCGAATACTACTGTTCTTGCTATTTTCCATTGATGAGTTTTCCATCTATTTTGTCATAAAGGCAAACTAAGCATCCGCCGCAATATTTTAGGACGCAATCAACTTCGTCCGTAAGCTTGCCCTCCTCTTCCAAAACTTTACAGGCGTCTGGATTAGTACACATAGGCACGGGTACATCGGGAGGACAGAGCGGTTCATTCTCTTCCATTGACTTTAAAGCTGTGGAAAAATTATAGCAATTCTATGGTTAATTATGTTTTAGAGTTGGTTAGAAATAGCCTGTTTCTAAATTTAAAAATATTAATAAATAAAATACTTACGTTTACAGTATAACGAATAAGGAGACCATTCTTCAGAGTAAGTAATTCCCAAAACTAACGCCAACAAGAAAATACGAATACTTAGCCACATAGCCGTATTTGCTCTAAAGCTTGTTGTACCTTGTTCTTGATCAATATCCGTACCCGCTGTCTATCGACGAGTTTTCTTTTTATCAGAGACGGATAAATTTGCTCGCTTGATTAATCGACCTGAGCGAAAAAAAGACAAGATTGGATCGAGCGTTTCTCGCGCCGTCGATAAAAAAGGAACGATTTCGAGTGACAACAGTGACGTAGGTTGTGCCACAACACCAATATCGGAAATGCAATACGCTTAAAAGCAGTTTGACGCATCGCGAAATGCGTATGCGTCATTACTGGCCACTAACATATCAGCGAAACGATAGAGAAACCTTGTTGCGAGATACACAATTTCATAAAATAGTGTTTTAACTATACGGATTGTCTCGTCTTGATTAATACGCGAAAGGAGGTATCGTACATTACATGTTGTTAAGTAGCATCTTTGACCCCAAAAAGCACTGAATTAAGTCGACAAGAGAAGCAATATTTCAATGTGAATATCAGAACATGTATAGCACAATCAAATAAATAATCTCCAACGAAATACTTTCAATATAGCAAATTTACGTAAAGTTTAAAAAATTTCGAATAACGCTAAAATTGACCCAACATTTAAACAGAATCTGCCACTGGGGCTCAAATAATATTTTGAGCATGGATGAATAGTTCAAGCATTTATCATTCTATCCAATTAAACAGGGATATCACTCAAAAAACTGCATCAGTTTTCTAACGAAATACTTTTAATATGCATGATTGAATAATAATTCACTCATCTATCTATTAAGAATTTGAGCCTCTAACCCTATCAATATTCCATTACTTTTAATATATCGAATTATCGTGAATTCTACAAATATTCGAAAAACAAAATTTGAAAAATATTCGATTATGGGTGAATGAATAGTTTAAATATGTTTTTAATCAAATAAAGATATTGGCCAAAATATATATTCTTATTCGGAAGTAGGCCTACATGCGTACTTGACAACAGGTACTTTAAGGTATCCGTAAGTTTTAACCAGACCAAACCGGTAAAATCCCGTTTTATTTGCTTAGCAGATTTTACTTTGGCTGACTGGAAAGCCAGAAATTTTATTGGACACCAAACAGCCGTATGGATCGCTATTACATTCATGTATTTATAAAATATCTGTGGGCTTTATTGGATCTATTTTTTACTTAAAAGTTTAGTGTTGACGTCACAAAATTAATAATCGCGCCCCTTGCCATGGTTTCGTGATAACATCTTGGGGATCTGGTAGAAAATGTACCGGCATTGTAAAAGATTTGATACTACTTCGTGTATCTGAGCATTGTATTTTCAGAGTAGTTGGTATCTAGGGTAGTCTTAACATACGTCCCACTTTAAGCGGGACAATCCCGCTTTTTAGCATCTTGTTCCGCCGTCCGGACAAGTCAGCAAAAAGTTCCGCTTTGGCGTTGAGCATAATACACGAACATGTTCTCGTTACTGTTGTTACTGTGTAGCGTAACGCGAGCCTACTTACTGAAGGGAAATGCGTTATTTTGTTTGTTTTGTTGTTTCCCGCTAACCATGTTAGCGAACGTATCACATGTAAAATCAATTCTAATTTGTCCTGTTCGAACGTTCACGTGAATGTAACATTGAACAATGTCTTTTTGAAAGTGTTATCTACAGAAAAGCATGCTTGGGCGAATAAGTAAATCTCAATGCTTGAAAACGGCAGACTATTTCATTATTCTTTGTTCCTTTTGCTGTACATAAAAAATCTAAATTTGAATCATGTGTATCGTTAGCGTCTATTCCTTTTTATTTTTCGAACTGAGCCCGATATTCAGACAGTGAATATACGCATGAACTCTCGATGACAATATGGTCAATGAAGACAGCTGGGATGGCTTTAAATGCAGGCCTATGTAGTAAAATCGGAAACTGAATCACAGCAAATTGGAAACAGAATCACAGCAAAAGGGTCGTGTCTTTGGAGGCGTCCCACTTTGAAGTCAAAATAATATCGTAACCCTAATCTTAGGTCATGTCATAGCATATGGACATTGCAGTTACGTGAACCATCCTACGGCGACGAGGAGTGCAGCAATCCCCTCGCACACATATATATCCACAAGTCTCGCACCCCACCTCAAAAATAACTAGATAACAATAAGCTACAAATACCAGATATGGTAAGACGAAAATAGGCTATGTTTTATTCAACGAACACGTTAAAAATACGTGGATGGAACGTAAATATTCAAAATAAAGGAATCCAAATATCCATAATAGGGCGGGTAAGATTAAATCTAACATATATTTTTATTTTTAAATCATCCTTCCACGTTGGTTAGGCACATAAATTGATACGGCATAGGATGGGGGGCCGTCAGAATTAAAATTCACATGAAGCGGTCTGTGGCCCGAAAAGTTTGGGAAACCCTGCATTAGACAACTGTCATTTGACTCTTTGGTGAATTATTGCATTCGTTGTATAATGTATATTATTATCTAACTTCATGACATTTAGGTAATGATGTTATTTTTTACAGATTGATTGTTTTGCAAGCATCAAAGTGACCGTCACAATCTAAATGCGGTTCTTCGCTACAGCACTAATTCCGATCTCCATCAAAGAACGTGGAACTATAGACTTGAAAACACTGATCAGAACTATTACCACAGTCGAACTCTCTCTGAAATGTGTGATCAGTGCCGCCTCAGACCGATTCTGAGACTCTTGGGCCAGACTATCAAGACGCCATAACTCTGAAACTTGATATACTCAGACAATAATGTCGGTGCAATAATCTCGGTGCATTTAGACTTGACATGGGCAAACGGCTCGTGGGCCAAATCCTGCCCGTTTTGTAATTGAATCTGGCCCGCCTGATGCTGCCACAACCAAACTAAAATCAAATTTTGATGTTTAGCTACAAATAGCTCAAGGAATTTGTTGAGATTGCGATTAAATTCAGTTTTGACATGACGCTCATTGTCTTCCACTTTTGCTTTTCTAACATTGTAAATATTGTTCATAAAATGTAACTTTTTACGTCACACTTACATGGCCCGCTAGTTTAGATGGACAAAATCTTTGGCCCCTGTTCCAAAAACCTTGCCCAACTCTGATTAGGCCAATAACTGTGATTCGAAATGTATCCGTAATGAACTATCTTGCCACATGTGTTAGACCGTGGTAAAATGCTCGAATGTGCATAACCGTAAAAAGAACACAAAAAAGAAGATAAATAATGTGTGAACGCTAAAATGCTTGAAAAAACGTGCTATTATCGGCTAAGGCCTGAAATGTATTAAAGCGAACAGTTTTTTCTGAGAACTTGTGATAGCATTAATATTATGTGAAATTTAATTCGTGTCATTTTTAAATTTTATTTTCAAGCAAAATTATTCGTCTATTCTTTTTTTTTTTAATTGCTGTGGGATTGGGGTGGGCTTTATGGTGACAGCACATTTGAACCTACGTACATTTGAACCCGTACATCTGAACCCGTAATTTGAACCCAGGACAATTGCACCTGTATACTATTGCACCTATGGACATTTGCACCTACGGACATTTGAACCCATACATTTCCACCCATGGATTTTAGCACCCGCATATAGATTGAACCCGCGGACATTTGAACCCGTGTACGTTTGCACCCGCGTACATTTGAACCCATGTACATTTGCACCCGCGGACATTTGAACCCGTGTACGTTTGCACCCGCGTACATTTGAACCCATGTACATTTGCACTCGCGTACATTTGAACCCATGTACATTTGCACCCGCGGAAATTTGAACCCATGTACATTTGCACCCGCGGACATTTAAACCCATGTACATTTGAACCCACGAACTTTTGCACCCGCAGACATTTGAACCCACGTACATTTGAACCCGCGTACATTTGAACCTACATACATTTACACCCGCGTACTTTTACACCCGCGTACAATTGTACCCACAGACATTTGCACCCATGAACATCTACACCCATGGGCATTTACATTTACGGATATTAGCGTTTTTACATATACACCCTTATCCTTCCATGCTATATACTATAGTATATAGGATTGAAAGGTACACTTAGGATTCTTTCTCCAAATGCATACGTAGCGAAAACAATCAATATTACCATGGAATTGTCGATTATATACTCGAAGGCTTTATTACTATTTTCTATATATTTAAATTATATTATATATTTATATTATACTCCGTCTGTCATTGTCATCGCAATTGTCGATATCATAAGACTCAATGGACAAAAGGTTCCGCTGTAGAATGCGAGCCAAAATTGGGGAGTATGATTTGTGCTTTGAACGGTCGACGACTCTTGAAGAGCGCGAGCAAGGATTTTAATTGATGTGTATGGTGGCCCATCGTTGTCACGCGTAAAATTGAAAATAAAAATAAAAAATAAAATAAAAAACCGATAATAAAATTTTTTTTGTAAAAAAACATAAAAATAATTAAAAAAAAAATTAAAATTAAAAAAAAAATAAATAAATAAAAACGAAAAAAAAAAAAAAAAAAAATTAAAAAAAAAAAATTAAAAAAAAAAATTGAATAAAAAGAAAATAAAAAGGTTGACAACGATGGTCCGCCTCGTGGCCCATCGTTGTCACGCGTTTTTATTTTTAGAAAATTTGCTTCTGCTTGGGACCAACGTTGTCAGGCATAATCCTACGCGCACAAATGTGTTCCCTGGGTTTCAAACTCACTACTGATTTTCTTGAGCAATATTCAATATGAAAATGTTCTATAAATTCTCCATGCTACAAGTTCAACAAGAAGTAATATATTTATAATAATGACAAGAGAATATAGAATTGAATACGAAAATTCGTAAAATTTGTTTTTACGTGTATAAGGTAATTTAATTGGAGAATGCTGCTTAACTACTCAGTTGTCTGGACACTCGCGATGCCGGTACCGTACCGTCTTACCAAATACCGGTAGTCGGTTATAGTCGCTTTGCGTCTGACCGTACCGGTAGCCATACAATCACTCATCATCTCCCATTCTTTCACGAGTGATTGCATGGGTACCGGTACGGTCAGACGATACCGTACCGGCATCGCACGAGTGTCTGAGCAGTTAAGCAGCATTTTCCAATTAAATTACCTTCTACACGTAAAAACAAATTTTCGTATCCAATTCTATATTCTCTTATCCTTATTATAAATATATTGCTTGTGGTTGAACTTGTAGCATGGAGAA